TTGCCACAACATTGAAGTGTTTAGTTTTTGGTGCCCTAATTCCCAGCTTGAATCAAGTCTAAAGACCCTTCTACACTACACTAAAACCCGAGAGGAAGTGGGTTAAAGCAACCTGCTTCCTCTCAGGTTGTGGTCCCCACCCCCAAAACAAACCCCAGGCTTTCCTGGGAGAGATGGCTAGATGGCATACCAGATCAACCAAAGGTTGACCCAGGATGACATCCAGGGCCCCCTCCAGCCCGTTTTGGGCCCCAAATTTACCACAGAGGCCTGCCAGCAATGCAGGCCTCTCTCTCTATGGTCTTCCAGGCTTGGAAATTACGTTTCAGGAGGAAAATCCCTCCGCCCTCCCGGGCTCCTGACATACCATTTTCTCACACCAGGAGGATTGTAGAAAGAGGTCTGCCCTGCCAACAGGCCTCTCCAGTAAGTTTGGGAGCTGAAATGGGGGGCTGAAGGGGAGGGGCGGGTGCCATTCTGCTCCTCAGGCTTTTTAGAGCCCAAAGTGGCTGTGGGGACTGACCCCCAGGACTGCAGAAACAGTCCTGGAAGTCAGTCCCCACAGGACCCTCACCTCTAAACATCAGGACCTTATCTTAAGGTCTGGATCTTTAGAGGTGTTTCATTAATGTGGAGTAAACCAAGAAAACTCAGTTTGCTCTGCATTAATTCACATTTCCCTGAGGTGTCATTTGAGCACCTCAGGTAAAAAGCGAGACAGGTCCCACATTTTGGGCCAGTCTGGAAGGGTCCTATGAAGGTTTTTTATACTGGAGAAACCCTTGAAAGAAGTTCCACGTTTCAGGAAACCCCTTAAAATTTTATCTATTGCTTCAAGAAAATTTTCTCTTTTTCAAACACAATCTCTAGCAGAACTCCTAGTGATTTCTCATGAAACTCTAGACCTTGTTTCAGAAACCCACACATTTCCCTCATTCATTCACATGCATGAAACCAAAACATTTTAATAGTTCTTTTAATCATTGTGATTCTTTAATTTTTTTTAAAAAAATGGAAAGATGACTGTATGCTTACATGTATGTATGTTTGCACCCATAACACTTTATTTATTTTGGAAGGCAAGAAAACAGCCAACTGAAAACATGAGGGAAATGCACCCCCCCCCCCCCACACACACACACACACCTCTGAAAGCATAGTCCAATACTAATTTTGTTATTTTGGTTGTTAACTGCTTTCAAGTTGACTTTAACTTATGGTGATTTTATGAAAGTGAGAGACCTACAAGTTATCCTGTCCTCAGGCCTTGCAAACTCAGTACTGCCTATCTATTTAAAATATGTACCAGAACATCCCACCTTATACCATGGGATTTCAGGATGATACACAACCATTGAGAAAACAGTTTTAAAAAATTCAGAATTTAAAACAAGAAACATTAAATAAACACATACTTTAAACAGCTACCAAGCTAAAACACTATAAAAAGGCGTATGATATAACTAGGTTTCATCTCACATTGTTCTAGTATAGCACCCTTTGTTGTTGTTGTTGTTCATTCGTTCAGTCGTCTCCGACTCTTCATGACCTCATGGACCAGCCCACGCCAGAGCTCCCTGTCGGCCGTTACCACCCCCAGCTCCCTCAAGGTCAGTCCAGTCACTTCAAGGATGCCATCCATCCATCTTGCCCTTGGTCGGCCCTTCTTCCTTTTTCCTTCTACTTTCCCCAGCATAATTGTCTTCTCTAGGCTTTCCTGTCTCCTCATGATGTGGCCAAAGTACTTCAACTTTGCCTCTAGTACCTTTCCCTCCAGTGAGCAGTCGGGCTTTATTTCCTGGAGGATGGACTGGTTGGATCTTCTCGCAGTCCAAGGCACTCTCAGAACTTTCCTCCAACACCACAGCTCAAAAGCATCGATCTTCCTTCGCTCAGCCTTCCCTAAGGTCAAGCTCTCACATCCGTAGGTGACTACAGGGAATACCATGGCTTTGACTAGGCGGATCTTTGTTGCCAGTCTGATGTCTCTACTCTTCACTATTTTATCAAGACTGGACATTGCTCTCCTCCCAAGAAGTAAGCGTCTTCTGATTTCAGTAGTGCTTAATGATTAGGACTGGATTCTATTTTAATTTCTCTCAATGCCCCAGAGGTATGCAACACTGTAGAAAAATCCAGTGGCAAGTGCACTACCAGAGCACAGGTGCTAATGGAAATTCCCATTGCTGCCACTGAAGCCAACCAGAATTCACTGCCAGAAGAAAAGCTACTCGAAGACGTTTTGTCTAAGGCTCACAGAGCCTGGAATCAACCCTTGCCAGACTATAAGCATCCTTTGCTTTTCGATGATCTGCTTTTTGATGGCCAAATATTACAACTACTGTTATTTCAATTAAATTGAGATACATGGTCCACTATTTTGTTAAGTTTGCATGATACCTTTCTGACTGTGAACTGCTTTTTCTTCTTTAAATCAACTTGGTGCCACAGTTTTGTTAGGTCTTTGTACAGTATAGAACTCATCCGTGGTGTGTCTCTTAGAAATTGTGCACAGTCCATTAATAGAATATTCATGCTTACATGTGTACTTTTAACACAGTATTTATGCATATATTTGTGCTCATAATACAATAAGTGCACTTATAATATATGGGTTCTACAGTTCCACTTTTTGACAGTAAAATTGCAAGGTATGACCATCATAGAAAAATCTGCTGTGACTACAATTGCAACATTACATCAATCTTCATGATGGACATACCTTCATAATAATATGGAAGCATATCATATATTTTATCATGCAACCAATCAGCCTAATTAATAATAATAGCATTATCCACATGCAAAAGCATAATACCTCCTCTTCCCACAACCCTGCAAACCACAAATGTCAACCCAGTCTTAAATACAGGAAACACACCAGTACTGTTAAGGTCTTACTTGTGGTTGGGGAGATTCGCAACGGAGTTGGGCTCAGCTATCATTTCCACTACATCCTCTCAGTAGCAAGGAAAGCAAACAACACTTCAGCATGAAAAGAATATAAACCGCAAGAATTCAAATTCACTTCCTTTTGCTTTCATCTGAGAGTGACAGCAACACTGTACAAAACATAATAGGCAACATATTTATAAACTACAATAGCTTAAGACAAGCAATATAAACTGAATTACATTCCAATAAAAATACCAAATTAGATTTCAATAGCATGGTTAGAAGACAAAAATCATTCTTACGTGCTTCTACAGGACAAATATAAACTCTGATGAATAACACTTATAAAGACCATTAGTATTCAAAAATTATATACAGTCTTCTGTGTTACAAAGAGGTCTTTCATGGAACATTTTATCATGTCAATTTCCCCATTTTCCTTCCATAAATATTTGAGGCTTTTCCGTTTTATCCTCTAAATAATATTGTGAGCTATAATTGTTGAAGACAGAGCTTTCCAAACATTTCATGTTGGTTACTGCTTCTTAGACATGCATCATTTTGCCACACAGTTATTCAGTTTTACTAGCAAACCAGAGGTTAAACCAACCCCTTATAAGAGATATAGACATATACATATATTATAATAATGAAATGTATGGGGACATAACATATATGATTTGTAAGATAATATCATACATATCCAAGATTTTGGGAAGGGGAATATAGAGCACCATATTGATTAGCAGTTTTGCTGCATAAAAACTCAACCGTTCCTTGTTCCATTTGTGCAACACACCTACACACTGCAGCCGAAATACTAAGATCTTGCAATACACAATTTGGAAAGTTCTAAGTTAAGAGATTATGATTCACTAAGGACACAAATAAATTTCACAGCTGAGCTAGAACTGTGAATCTAGATCTCTTCATTCCAAGTCAAAAAGTCTACGCAACAACACTGATTCTCCATGTTTCTAGACATAAGCATATTAAGCTGACTTTCTTCTTTACAGATATTTTACATATTGAAATAAAAATAAATTTACATACAAGTACTGGTAGGTCTGGGTAGCCTTTTCCCAAGAACACCTTATGAAATTCATTTTTTAATCATATGTATTTAAAATGCTACATAACACTTGATCATTCCAAACAAACTTCAACATACAAATAGTGTGAAAACTCTATGAAATTCATGGAAATTACAGTAAGTTGACAGGAACTTTAAAACCATGCATGTGCACACACAAACCAGTTAAGCCCTATTCAGACATTATTAATAGGGCAGAGTCTACCTATGAGTAGGGGCAGATAAAGTGGTTCTGCCTCCCACGACACACAGACTGTTGCCAGGTATCTGCATAAGCAAAACTAACAGTAGAGAGAAGGATCCTCCATGGCACAGCTGGATGTGTACAAAGGCCTCCGTGGAAGCCTAGCTTCTGTTTTTTGGATTCCAAAGAAGAAGACTCTGTACACAGCTATACATAAAGAGACCTCTTTGCCATGGATGCTTACACTGCACAAGTGAACACTGCAGCATTATCCACACCTAACACCTAACAATTTCAATTGGTTCAACGAGCGGCAGCCAGGTTGTTAACTGGTGCTCCTTACAGGGAGTGGTCAACCCTCCTGTTTAAGGAGCTCCACTGGCTGCCATTCATTTTCCGGTCCCAATTCAAGGTGCAGGTGCTTACCTACAAAGCTCTAAACAGTTTGGGACCCACCTACCTGCRTGACMGCATCACTGTGTATGAACCCACACAATCTCTTCGATCATCTGGAGAGGCCCTGCTCGCGCTCCCACCTCCATCGCAAGTGTGATTAGTGGGGACGAGGGACAGGGCCTTCTCGGTGGTGGCCCCTCAACTCTGGAACTCACTCCCCAGGGACATCAGACTTGCCCCAATGCTGACAGTCTTTAGGAGGAGCCTGAAAACGTGGTTGTTCCAGTGTGCCTTCCCAGAATAAGGAAACTCTCAGCAATATGTCCCTAAATGCACTTTTTAGTTATCTAGGATTATCCCTCTCCAAAATTTTTATCCTGTTTATATGACACCTGGTCACGCCCAGCATTGTTTTTTTAAATATTTAAATTAGTACATTTGGCCCTGCCATAGGTTTTTAAACGTCGTTGTGTTATTGTTAATATTTTCTGTTTATGAGTTTATTTATTGTTTGTATTACGGTTGCTATTGTTTTTATTGTTGTATTGTGGGCTCGGTCTCATGTAAGCCGCATAGAGTCCCTTGGGGAGATGGTAGCGGGGTGCAAATAAAGTATTATTATTATTATTATTATTAACAGGCATGATCCACTTGCAAGTTTAGGCAAGCCCTTCTTGGCAAGATCTGAAAAGGGCTTTCCTAAAGTTATCTAATGCAACAATGAAAGCTGCAGTCCTATATATATTGGAACTCATTAAATTTATTCTAATGGGGACATATATGAGACTACAAGAAAATAAGATGTGAATCAAGAAATCTCTGGTTCAACTCTCTCTTCTCCTATGAACACATTTTATGTCCTTGGACAACAATTTCTCTGTCTTTCTCAGTTCCTCCCAACTGCAACACAGGCAATATTAATGCTGACTTGACTTAGCGAGTTGCTGTAATCACAGGAAACACTGTGAACACTTAAAAGCAGAAGACAAAATAGTATGACTGCTGCCACAATACTAAGGGAAAAAAAGAAATGGAAAGATTATTTTGAAAATGCATAAACCTATATTATGACACTAGTGGTAATCAGACAACACAGGTTCCATAGGAAGTTGAAAACAACATATAATGGCACATTGATATTAATTATAGAAAGCTTACCTGACATAAAACCAATTGAAGCCAAACTGAGTAATTTCTCCTAGTGGCTGGAGTGGATGTATCCTTTTAATCAAAATCTGGATAACACTTTGCCTTTGTGCAGAAGCTCCTGTGATCGACAAATTTGGGAAATAATGTATCTAAAGATGCAATCTTCTTTATTTCTCTTCTAGAGTTCCTCTAAAACAGACACAGACAGATACTTAATTTCAAAACCACAGGCAATAAAGTACAACATATTCCTCTTCCCAGAGCAGGAAGACTGAACTGATATTACTTGGTCCCAACTCCCATTAAACCATCACAGCCAACAGGGAAGGACGATGGGAGAATAAGGTCCAAAATCCCCAAAACAGGCAAGCATATGAATCACCTCTTCCAAAGAGTTTACAACAGGGCACACTACAGTGAAAGATTTACAACATTTTACTGGACAGTTCTCCGAGTGGTGCTCATCTAGAACACAGAGTGATCACAAGAAATCAAAATTAAGTAGAAGTGATGTGCTTAGTGCAATGTACTCTTGTATTCCCAGGTTTCTGTGGTAGCAGGAGTCCATATGAAGAATTAAACTTAGTGTACCAAATACTCAAATTCTAGAGATGTCTGATCAAATTACCAATGTCTTAGTTATAGACTATTTGCATTACTGAAAGGTGCTGAATGTGTTGATGATTCTGAATGATGTTTGGAAATTTCATCTTGGGTCTGTCCAACCTGTTAACTGGGGCTGTTTCAAAGGAGCATATAAGTCCACCTTTACACCAGCCCTACAGTTTGCCAATTCATTTCTGAAGACAAGTCAAACTTCTACTTATAAGCTCAAAAGCAGTTTGGGTACAAAGCATCCAAAAGACTTGTTTATCCCATATGAGATTTGCAGAACATATCCTTTCCTTGGTTTTGCCACCGTTCATGTATCTGAACACATGCACTGAAATTTACGATATTAATATTAACCAGAAGTAACATTTCCAATATGTTAAACTAATTTTAACTTCCATGTTTTCTAATATTATAACTAGATTAATTAAAGTTATATATTGATATCTTAATGTTGGTTTTAGAAATACTTATACTTTATTTATATTGCAAGCTGTGTTTGGATACCCGTTTTGGAAGAAGAAATGGGATGCAAATCAAATAAATAAATGCGTGCTGGGTATAAAAATCAACACAAGAAGCATGGATCATGGACTAGGAAAGGACAACATATCGAAGAAGACATAGTCATGTTAACTAGAAAAATTAAGAAGCACAATATTACCTCATCATAGAATTGTTGTGACTGGTAATATTAGCAATGTAGTTCTGGGTAACACCAGGATCCAGAACAGGATTCTAAAAGTGATCTAGAAATAAATGAATAGGGATGCAAGCAGCTAAAAACAAACCCCACAGGTACCAAAACTACTTTTTTCTTTGGACATGAACATACTGCATTGCTCCCTAACACCTGCAATTGACTGTCAGGGGGAAGACAAATTACTTTTACCAAAGGTCTCAGCTGACTGCTAACAGGGGGCTTTTCAATTTGAACCAAATGCAAAGCTTGGAAACACTACTTTTTGGACTAAGGCTCCCAGATTCCTTGCCAGCATAGCCAACAGGCCATGGATTATAAATTATTAGGTAAGGGTTTCTTAAGCTGCCCATTCTGTTTTAAACCATAGCTTCTGGTGAACTCTAGCAGAAAGTACAATGTATCACTGTGGACTTTTAATTTACCACAGCAAGAGGCATGGCATGCAATGGCAAAAGAAAACCTCTTCCAACAACCGCACGAGTGGAAATCCAATGAAAACACAAACTCAGATGGTAGTGCGTATGTGGGAAAGAGCATAAGTTGCCCAGTAAGATATACAGGCTCACCATCCCTTGTCCAGAATTTTAAAGGACTCTAAAATCCGAAATTGTTGATTGAAACAGTGATACTTTTGTTTCCTGATTATTCACTATACATAAATTTTGTTTTATGCACAAAATTATTTAAAATAGTATGAGTAAAATTACATTCACGCTAATAAGGCACAGAGGAAACATACATGCAATTTATGTTTTGACTTAAGATACCATTTCGAAGACATCGCAGTATGTATATAAAATACTAAATTTCAAAACACCTCAGCTGCATTTAGACTGCAGAATGAAAGGACCCAGTTTAACTGCCATAACTCAATGCTATGCATTCATGAGAGTTTTAGTTTGGTGAAACAAACTGAGGCAGAGGCTAAAGACCTTGTCAAACTACACATCCCAGGATTCCATATCACTGAGCCATGGCAGTTTAAAGTGGTGTCAAACTGCACTCATTCTACAGTCTAGAGATGCACCCTATCATTACTCAGAAGTGGGTTTCATATTTAGATATGAGTCCCATCTCCAAAATATCAGACTACATTTTAATATATTTTATATATTTATACTTTCAAATATACAACATATAGATAATATTTTGTAAAAATCTGAAATGCATATTTGTAAATTAAGATACATTAAGCTACAATTTCCCATTTTCCCTATGTTTGGCAACTTTTGGGACAAAAGTCAAAATATGTATCTAACTATGTATCCATGTACATATGCTTTTTCCAGGAGAGTTCCCACATCCAGAGAGTCCTGTTAGTCTCACAATGGATGGATCAAGATTTAAATTGGTACGCATACCCAGCATGACCGACTTAAAATACTGGCAGGTTGGAGGCTTGGGGGGGAGGGGTGGTAGGCCCAGTTTGATTGTAGTTGTAGTCCACCCGCATCCAGAAAGCCTTGTCAACTCCTCCAATGATGGGTCTGGATAAAACTGGGCGCACATACCCATCATGGCTATCTTAAAATGCTGGCAAGGGTTTTTTTGGGGAGGGGGAGGTTTGATGGTGGAAGATGTAGTCCAACCACAGCCAAAGATCCATTTTTATCCTACATTCAGAGATTTGTATGTCTTTCTAATGAGGCCATTCATAAAATCCAAAACTAAACAATGATTGTGTTGTCAAAGGCTTTCATGGCTGGAATCACTGGGTTGCTGTGAGTTTTCCGGGCTGTGTGGCAATGCTCCAGAAGCATTCTCTCCTGATGTTTCGCCTGCATCTATAGAAGGCATCCTCAGAGGTTGTGAGGTTTGTTGCTAACCTCACAACCTTTAAGAATGCCTGCTGTAGATGTGAGCGAAACGTCAGGAGGGAATCCTTCTGGAACATGGCCATACAGCTCGGAAAACTCACAACAACCCACTAAACAATTATTACTTTTCATAAGTAATGTTGCAAAATGCTTAACACAGGCATTGCCAGGTACCCAAGCTAATATATATACAGATAGACCAGTGTTTCCCAACTTTTTTTGACTGGGGACCACTTGAGCAGGGACCACTCTCCAACATTAGTACCAAAAGGGTTACTTTTGGTACTAAAGTACCAAAAGTAACCCTTTTGGTAGAGTTTGTTTGCTTATTTGGGATGCTGATTCAGAAAACTGAATGGGCTAGACCGCATCAGCTCTAGTTTCCGATACAGAACATATGCCATCCAGTAGTTGCCATCTGCTCGCCCACAGAAAATCATATTTAATAATCTAGAGCCGTGGACCTTATTTTAGGTCTTGCAGCCCACAAGTTGGGAGTCGCTGACATAGACATATAGAGACATATACACATATATACATACATACATAGGTATTCCAAATTTGTGGGGAAATGGAATTCTGATCCCAAAACCTTTTGGACCTGGGTGTATTTTGGATGCAACATTCTCAGACTAACCTAGTATTTGAATCCTAGCGCTTTGAGCCTCAGCTGACAGGCAGCAATTCCACAGGTGGAGATCAGACACTGGAAGGAGCTATACGGATATTATAGGAGCTTCACCCCCGCAAAAAATATCAAGCGGGTCGAAAACTCTGAAAGAGAAAAAGGACCCAAATCAAAACACAGGAGGAGGAGAGAATGCAGCAAAACCTTGGACAAAAGGGGGTGGGGAAGGCGGCTCAGCTGAACGCCCCCATTGTGAAGGCACCCCACGGAAGAAGGGAAGCCCTGGAGAAGGAAGAATGAGGAAAGAAAGGGAGAGGGAGGGGGGGGAGCTGGACCTGCCCCCTCCCCCTCCCCCTCCCCAAAAAAAGACCATCGCTGGCCGCGCGCGCCCCCTACCCAGCTGCGTGCAACATCTGGGCCCAGTTCCGATGACAAGTCTCGCGGCGGCGGCGGCGTCAATCACCAGAGCCCGCCCCAATCGAACCCGAGCACCGCCTAAGCCCCGCCTTCCCCTCTCCTCCGCCTCCTCCTTCTCACGTGACGCAGCCCGGCCAATCAGGTCTACGGGCGCCTGGGCCGCCGCTGACGTTCTGCTTCAAGCCCCGCCGCTGTGTGTAATGTTTCGAAAGAGTGGGCGGAGCTAAGCGCTTCGGAAAGAAAAAGGAACGCTCTTTGTTCCAAGTGGGGCTTTAATGGGGGACGGACCAAAACATTCGAGGGAACGCAATGAGTGTGGCGCACATAGGAAATAATGAGTTCCCGATTGAGGCAGGTGCTGCGGTTGGTCGGGAAGTTCGGTGGTGTTTCGCCTCGACTGCGGGCCGCTTGCCTCCCTCGTGGGCCGTGGACTTTTTTGCACGCCACTGCCATCGGCTACCGCCTCTCTAGCCATGAGAAAAGAGGCGGGAGAGACCATGGCAGGAGATGGGGGCCTGAAGAGACGGAGGAAGAGGAGGAAGGAGGAGGCGGCGAGGAGGACGAGCGCGGCTTGGAGGAGGAGGAGGAGGAGCTGGTGGAGTCCGGGTTGCCCCCTGTCCCGCCTGGCCACCAGAAAGTGTTCATTGTCCACCCGGCGGTGAAGTGGGGACCAGGGAAGCCTCAGCTCACCACAGGTGCCCTTCAGGCAGCCACAAAAAGAAGCATATGCCCCCACTCAGGCCTGTAGCGAGGGGGGAGTTTTAGGGGTTTAGGCCACCCCGCCCGAAATGTTTCAGATTTTTTTAAAAAACCCAGTTTACTCATGAATTTTAACTGGTTAACCAAATCCCCATGCTAAGTCTATGAGATGCAAAAAATTAAGAGTCCCTCCAGAACTGCAAGCGCTATCTCAAGCAAATATTGACAATTTATTTACACTGTCATTACTTGCAGCAATAGCCGGTGTAGTGAAGCAACCAAGTTGTGTGTGTGTGTTGAATGCTCTCATTAAGGAGGCCAGACTTGGTGGAGGTGGTTGACAGGGGCGGAGCTGCAGGCTATTGAAGGTTGCTGTGCCCCCTGCTGTGCTCTTTGCTTCAGCATGAGCTAGGAGGCAGGTTTCAACCCCCCCCCCCACAAAATTTCAACCCCTCCCGAAAATTTTTTCTGGTTATGGCCCTGCCCCCACTGCCCTCATTTTGTAACTCCAACCATCTGTTTATCTATAAAGACTTTGGACAGCATAGGGCAGGGTTAACACCCCTGTGGTGCTTATTTTGCCATCTGTGCTCCTGTTCAGAAGATTTCACCTTACTTTCTTTCCCTGTGAAATTATTTTTTGAAAATTGCGACTTGTGGAAACAAGGATTGGTGAGAAAGTTTCAGATGAAATATCTTTCCCCCCCTGATAACTCTTTCAGGAGTCAATCCGCCTTCTGAGGAGATTTCTTTTACTTTCTGTTGTCTCACCCCCGTTCTTAACAATGAGGTGTTTTAAGTTGGATGTTTGTAATTCAGGGACTGCCTGTATAGAGTAATTTATTTTTATCCTGCATTGCTCCTGATAGAGGTACCGTATATACTCGAGTATAAGCCGACCCGAATATAAGTCGAGGCACCTAATTTTATCACAAAAAACTGGGAAAACATATTGACTCAAGTATAAGCCGAGGGTGGGAAATGCATCCACTATGGGCCAATTTCAAAATAAAAATAGATACCAACAATAATACATTAATTGAGGTATCAATAGGCTAAATATTTCTGAATACTTACATAAAACTGTAATTTAAGATAAGACTGTCCAACTCTTATTAAACCATTATTCTAACCTCCTTCAATGTAAATGTACTTATTATTAAAATAATAAATATAATAAAAATAATAGAGTAAAATAATGAAAATGCAATAAAAACAGTAATAATAGAGTAAAATAATAAATGTAGTAATAATAGGGTAAAATACTGTAAATGTAATAATAATAAATAGATTAAAATAATAAATGTAATAATAATAATAGGGCAAAATACTGTAAATGTAATAATAATAATAATAATAAAGCAAAATAATGTAAATAGAATAATAATAGAGCAAAATAATGTAAATAGAATAATAATAGAGTAAAATAATAAATGTAATAAAATAATACTAATAACAGAGTAAAAGAATAAATAACCTTGACTCGAGTATAAGCCGAGGGGCGCTTTTTCAGCCTAAAAAAGGGGCTGACAAACTAGGCTTATACTCGAATATATACAGTACTCAATGCGTTAAATGTAAAACAAAGTCAATTAAAATAATGTAAATTAATTAGAATATAATGTGACAATTAAAAAACAGTTCAACAATTTATGCCATTAAAATAATAAAATATTAAAATACTTTAAAACCAAACACCCACCTTTAAATCCCATTTCCTTCCTCTGTCTAAGGAAAGATTTCCCACTTCTCAGTTTAGATTTCTTTAGATTATATTCCGTTACACATTAAATTAGGATTTAGCGTATTTGTATGCTATCATAGCATATATACAAAGAACTAGCATAGGTGATCATAAGTATGGAATTTATTAAAGCACAATGCAAGTATTATATTTTCAATGAGATTCACTTCAATATATGGCCTTGGCCCAATTTCCATCTTTTGTAATTAAATTTTAAACATGCTTTGCATTCTGTTAAAATTTTGCATATCTGTACACTTAGATGAGAAACATGTTGATAAAATCAAACTTTACTGAGGGTAACACACAAATATAAAAAAGCAGTCCAACTTCTATTGCAAGTGAGTTTCTGTAAAGCAAATATTAGATCTATTTTATGTAACTAATACTATTATTTTCCTCAATTATAGCTGAATTGCAGTTAGCTGAAGCTGTTGCTCTTATAAACAGTATTCGGAACTGGACAGTGTTGGATAAAATAATTCTTTCTACAAAAGTTCCTGACAAGAAATTTATCTTTGGCAAAGGGAATTTTCAGCTTTTAACTGGTAAGAACCCAACCCAAGACCTGTTTTACTCAGAGTTTTGAACATTTCTCCAACTTGCCACTTCTTTTAGTACATGATTACAATCCCGAGATGTTCTATGAAATATATTTACATTATGACCTCTGTATTTTTACAGGAGATCTGTTCCAAGACTCCCTGTAGATACCTGAAACTCCAGATAGTAGGGGACCCTATGTTCTTACTTTGTGGCAAGAAATGTCTCTGAAGGGTTTAAAGAGATAGAAAGTCATTTCCAGGGGTTGAATATTTTTTTGAGTCTGAGGAAGTGAAACCATGGATATGGAGTTGTCCTGTATTGAACTATATATGCTAAATGTTATAAAACAGTGCCTCAGAATAGCTATGGTGATGCAATACAATAGAATGAATGATAGAATGAAACGTTTGGGTTTACTTTACATTATCGCTTTCACCTGCCGGATTTGTACTTAACAGTGTCAGTTTAATAAAACATAAGCCAGTAAGCTGCATCAAAGAGATAGCCTTCCAGAGCACTGGAGGTGTGTTTCTGCTGGTGAGCAGGACACTGCAGGATGATCTGACATCTTCCCATCAACAAATGAGGCTGCAAAAAGCAGGAGCACGGAAAAGGTCACACATTTCATCACAGCTGGTGGGAGAGGGTTGGTCACATCTTCTTGCACAGACACCTAATGGCTGTGAATGATGGGTATTGTAGGGTGGCACTTAGTGATTTAGTTGCATGCCCTGCTGATATTATTATACAATATTATTGTAGTGGTTACTGGATCATTTTGCAACACAGACAGTCCCCAAGGTATGAACAAAAGAGGTTCTGTAGATTTGTTCTTAAGCTGAATTTGTATGTAAGTCAAAACAGGTACATTTTAAATTGTAACTCCATCTATATATACATAAGCTTTGGATAGTATAGGGAAATTTGACGGCCCTGTGGTATTTATTTTGCTAACGGTGCCCCTGTTCAGAAGATTTCTGTGTGTGTGTTTGCTTTGGATAGCATAGGGAAGGGTTAACATCCCTGTGGTGTTTGTTTTGTTTCTGTGCCCCTGTTCGGAAGATTTCACCTCACTTTCTGTCCCTGTGATCATTGGATTTTGAAAAAAAAATGGTTTATTGTTGAAACTCCTAACCGTTTGTAAGTCGGATGTTTGTCACATGGGGACTGCCTGTGATGTTATTTATTTTTTAGAAGAAAACAACAAAAATGTACTCATTGTTACAAAATAATGTGGTAATTTTCTTTTAGAAAAGATCAAAGGGTTGCCGGAGATCTCATCTGTCTTTGTAAATGTAGAAAGACTATCTCCTCCAACAAAGGTGATTGCAACATTTCATTTTCATAGTATTTCATGATTTCAAGTGTCAATACAATTTAAATGTCTTCAAAAACTCTGTAAATCAATGAAATTTGTTGATGTCTGTAGTCCTAATTTAAACTCTGCTTTTATTAACCATTGAAATTAACCTGAGGACCTGTACATACTTATTAACAAGTAAACATTGTTATACTCAGTAAATTAAGGGTCGAGTGCCATATACTAGAATAACTTAGACGACTGTGAATAGTACAGTTAATATTTTCATAACTAAAATGTATCTGCTTTTGAACCCATTGAGTTTTGACCTTGTTCTCCTGTGTTAGTGTCTTCCCATTCTTCATGTACACCTAATGCATGTTTTTCGCCATATCCACCCAACCCCCCCCCCCAAATGACTATAAAGAGGTTCCCCATCTGCAGCAAAATATGGCATATTGTGACTTTCCCCACCTCCATGATGTACATGCCCCCATTCCACACCATCATCCATGCATTGGCCAAAAGTTATCATACATAATTGTAGCCTATATGCCAAAGATAGAGGTGCATATGATGCATCAGAATTGCAAAGGCAAGGAGGTATAATGTTTCTTCTGCACCTCTTGGTAGCATGATTTGTCCCAATATATTTCCAGTTAAGTACTTGAATAGTCAATAGAAGAGATATTAAAGACCAGCAAGACTTACCTTTTTTCGGTATTATGTAATTTTATTGTGTATAGTGCTACTACAAACACAAAAATATACAAGTATTCGAAACATTTTCCATTGGTAACACATGTTTACATCATTTCCCCTCTTTCTCCCAAGACTTATCTGATGAGAAATTTTATGTACTGTGCAAACAAAATTCCTCTTGGATATTCATCCAGGTCAACTTCAAAATGGTATTTTATTACAATTTTGTAGAGCATTCTTTTTTAAATCTTCATTCTTGTTGCCTTTTTAAAAGAAAGAGCTTGAACAAGCCTGGGAAGTTAAGGTTTTTGACCGGTACTCAGTTGTCCTGCATATTTTCCGCTGCAACGCTCAAACTAAAGAGGCAAAGCTTCAAATAGCATTGGCTGAAATCCCATTTCTGAGGTAATTGAACTGGTGCAAGTAATACATTAGTATCACTAAATAATACCTAAAATAAAACTAAAATGATGTGGTTGGCTAGTATCGCTTGTACTATTTGTTTATATGGATATTTAAACTCTTGTGATATGCTTGAAGGGAAATATCTCTTTTGGTCTCCTCATCTTTTCTCATATGCATCCCTGTAAATCAGGAGGCACAATTATCTATTTGTAGGCTGCTCTGGGACTTTCTTTGGCTAAAAGGTAAGGTACATTTTTTTTTGTAAGTAAATAAATGAACACTTATTGAACCACAGCAGAGGAGATTGGAGGTCATAATCATGTAGTTTCTGAATATATGTTTATTTGAATCTGACCTGTGTGTTTAGTCTAGAGAGAGAGTGTGTTGGCTTAGTTTAATTGGCTCGAGTGAATTGTGGGAGAGGGAGGAGAGTGTGTCATAGGAAGTGTGCATGATTACTGGGCGTGATTAGTTTAGCGTGTGAGAGTGTTGTTTAGTGTGGCTGTTAGAGTGAATTGTGGGAGGGAGAGGAGTGTGCGGATTCTTGGAGTGCCTGGGAGGGGCTGATTGTGTTGGAAGTAAATGTGAGTGAAGTGGTTTTGAGCGTGGTGAGAGTTACTTCTAGACATAGGAATGGGTGAAGCAGAACCTCATGCGAAGAATGATCTTTTGCACTTTTACGACCTCCTGAGGGAATCGTTTAACCATGTGTTATTACAACTCAGGTTTTTAAACGAGAAAATGGACCACCTCCTTAGAGGTTTTGCCTCTTTCTCAGGAATTCCTGTGCAATCCTTTCCCCTAAAGACTGGGAACTCTTCGTGTGCAGATCTAGCTAAGGACTTGTGCCAAAATGGGGAGAAAGGCACGTCGGTTCTTGGGGTTCTTGGGGCTGAACGAGGAATGAATGATGAGTTGGCTGAGGGAAGGGGAGAATCTTTGGGCAGTCATAGGACTGAGAACATCGTGGAGTGGCAGCGGTCTGTGATGGCCGCTCAGAGGACGATCAACAATACAACAACAGACCTTTTGGTTCAGCCAACCGCAGCCTGCACTCAGGATCAACATCTACAAACTGACATGTTTGCGGTGGACATTGCTGACCAAATGGTAAACAGAGGCAGATGGACCTCTAAGAGGGCAGTTTGTAACTCCTTGGCCCAAATCCTGGGTAAAAGACCACAGGAAATAAGACTAGAAGCCGTGTGAGTGGGCCGGAATCTCAGAAGGGGGCTGGCGGGTAGAGGTGCGTGCTTATTGCGGTTGGTTCGGGTGGCGGTCGTGAGATCGCCGGGGCGAGGCACAGAGTGTGTCCTGCGGAAGGAGGAGGAGGAGAGGGGGGGGAAGAGGAAGGAAAGGAGGAGAGGGAGAGAGAGAGAGAGAAAGGGAGAGGGAGAGAGGAGAGGGGGAGGGAGAGGA